TGAGTGATGGTAATATTGATTATCCTTCCATTGAGTGATGGTAATATGGGAGCCATTTTGGAGGTCCTTCATGAAGGCTCTTTAGGGCTCTATGTAACTTCAAGGTCTGTTTCCCTGATCTATTGCTGGGAAGGAGGACTGAAATCTTCCTCATGGTGTTAACTCTCTTCTCTGCTTCTCTCCTCTTCTTCTACATTGCCACCATGCTCAGGAGAATCTGAACTTCTGGCTCTCTCCGCCAAAGGCCGCCTCATGACGTGCGGCTTGTGCAGCCCAGATGATACACAGCCGCTCAAGATGAACGCTGACAAAGCTGGGCAGAGGATCAAAGAGCTCCTGTCCGGGATAGGCCATGTCTCTGAAAGGTAAGAGATGGCCTCTCTGTGAATAGCATCCCTGCGTGTGTAGAGTACACGTTTGGCATTTTTGCGTGTGTGGCTTGGGAAGCTCACAGGGAAGCATTTGCTAATGCCACCTCGATTGTCCTGCCTGAGCAGCCTTTTCTGGCACAAGGATTTGATGCTAAACCCTGCAGTGGGGATGGAAGAGCGAGCCGCAGTATGCTCAGTTAATGGGCAAGGCAGGAAACGTGGCAGTAGTGGCTCAATGAGTGAAGATGACAGCTCCAGGTGGCTCCAGGTTGACTCAGCCTTCCATCCTTCCGAGGTGGGTAAAATGAGGACCCAGATTGTTGGGGGCAATAGGCTGACTCTGTAAACTGCTTAGAGAGGGCTGGAAAGCACTGTGAAGCGGTATATAAGTCTAAGTCTATTGCTATGCAGGAGACTGTGTTTGAGGCGGCAGTGCAACTGGAAGAAATGGAGGCCTAAGGGCTTCTGGAAGAGCAATATAGGTAGTCCTCAGCTTACAACCACAGTTGAGCCCCAAATTTATGTCACGTAAGTGAGAAATTTGTTAGGGTTTTGCCCCATTTTACAAATTTTCTTGTCACAGTTGTTAAGTGAACCACCGTAGTTGTTAAGTTAGTAACACGGTTGTTTAGTGAATTGGGCTTCCCCTTTGACTTTGCTTGTCAGAAGGTTGCAGAAGGGGAATCCCGTGACCCAGGGACCCTGCAACTGTTATAATGAATCAGCTGTCAAGCAGCCGAATGTAAATCACGTGACCGTGGGGATGCTGAAACCGTCGTAAGTGTGAAAAATGATTTAAAATCCCTTTTTTTCCAGTGCAAGTTGTAACTTTGAACAGTCACTAAATGAACTGTTGTAAGTCGAGGACTACCTATAGATTCTCTGCAGCTTGCTTTGGAAGTTCTCCTTGAGAACCAGCCTGCAGGCTTCAGCAAGGGGTGGAAGTGAGTCCAGTGCATCACTTGAGACTTTCAAGAAGAGATTGGATTGCCATTTGTCAGAAATGGTGTGGGGTCTCCCACTTGGGCGGCGAGGGGTTGGACTAGGTGACCTACAAGGTCCCTTCCAGCTCTGATTATCTGTTATCTGTTACCTCCGGTCACTTGGCTGAGCCTTCAAACAAAGCCACGCCAAGGGCCAGCAGTTTCCAACATCTTCTGACCTGCAGGTTTCCCACTGTGTATCTTGTCTTTCGCCTATGAATTTCTTAGGCAGTTTTTCCCACCAGCATTATTCAGCTTTTCCTTCTCTTCTGATACCTGCAGAGTGTCCTCCCTAAAAAAAGCTGTGGACCAAAAAAACCAAGCTTTGACCTGCCTGAACCAAGTGATGAACGTGAGTGCAGCTTTGCTTTCAAGCCAAAATGGTCTGAAGCCCATCACTTGCACCACCGCTGCTCATTGGAGCCATATGCTGGTTCAGGACACCTTGACAATCTCCTGCATCTTGGAAAACTCAAGCGAATGCAGCCTGGAGCGGGGCTGGACCTTCTGTGTCCAGCTTTTCGCCAACTCCTGTGACTTTGAGGAAACCACTTCGGATTCTGCCACCACCTATACCTTCCCTATAGATCAGCTTCTTCCAGGGAACAAGACAGAGGTGACCCTTCCAGTCAGCCCCGCCGAAGGCTCCAAACTGAACCTGCCTTTTACGGTCTCCTGCTCCCTCTACTACAGTTTGCAGGAGATCTTAGGCACCGTTTCTGAGTCCACTGAGCTTCTGGATGACCTCTTTTCAGACGATTCCCCTGGACTTGCCCTGGACAGAGACGGCATCTGCCTGCCCTTGAGGGAAGACACTATTGATCTCCTGCAGTGCCTTCGCTTGGATGACAACAAGGGAATGCCTGAAGCTAGCCCACCTGCTGTGGCCATTTCTGTCCCTGGGGATCCAGTTGAAAACTTCTTGAAGTTATCTCTCAAGAGCATGGAAGAGAATGATGAGCTTGTCCCAAAGGGATTGAGTATCATCGATGAAAATTACTTGGCTCCAACTGTAGCTTCCATCAAGGTATCCTCTGAACTGCTGAGAACGTCCTTGAAGGACTTCTGTGAAGGTGTGTGTTACCTGTGAATGCTTTTAAACTCCCTGTCTTTTGTCCTCTCCTTGACTTTCATTAGGTTTAGCACCTCCAAAGCCCACCCGCCTTGACAGCTCCCATGGTCTGTTTGCCCTGAAAAGAACAGTGTCTTTTATTTGCAAGGCAGCTGTTGTGAGAGACTTGGGAGGTCTTGCTTGTCAATGGACCAGTTAATAACATTCTTGGCTGAGTTATGTGATGATGGAACTTCCTATAATCTCTCTCTCTCTCTCTCTCTCTCTCTCCCTCCCTCTCTCTCTCTCTCTCTCCCCCTTCCTCCCTCCCTCTCATGCACACACACAAACACACACACAGCACAATTCTAAAAGAAGGGTTGGGGCTCTGTGGCTCTGCAGATGTTGCTACACAACCAGCCAACACGGCAGTGGTGAGGGATGCTGGGAATTGCAGTCCGGTAGCATCCCATCGCAGTCTTACAGAATCGTTCCCAAAATCAAAGAACGTCAAACTAATAGGCTGAAAGCCAGCAATAAGCCACCTTCGTGTTTTAATGAGTATTCCACCATCAAAAAAGCCTGCAAATGACTCCCAGATCCTTTGAGTTGGCAGGGGACAGTGTTGCAGCCAAACCCAGTGATAGAAGCTGGATAACTTTCCTCTTGGCAATTAAAAAGAATGCAAGTAGTACGCCATGCTCATGAGCAAATCCTCCTTTCCAGCTAATCCTGAAAATTAATTTCAGCCCAGTCTAGAGTGGATGCTTTGCCAAGACTAGCAGTAAAGTGTTTTCTAAGGATGCTTTAAAAAATGATATGATTTTGGATATACATTTGCACAATGGTTTTCAACAAGGTAGTGTTGCAGGGAGGAAGATGGCGAGATTTGGAATATTTTGCAAGAATTGCAAGCAGTGAGACAGGGATTGTAGATATTTCCTTCGTCTATCTCACTGGAACAGAGATCCAATATCTATCAGCAGTATAGGTTTTTAGATCTGTTGTGTTTAAATATATATTAAAAAATTGGAGACTGCCTCTCTCACTCATAGACAACTTGGGGGGAGGCTACAATTAAAACATAAAATTATTGTGTATCTTTTTCTAAAAAGGCCGCCGGGATTCTTTTATTTATATCATTGTGACCTCAGATCCCTAAAGGTGGACCCTTATATTCAACAGGATATAAAACAATCAGTTCAGCCTAACATCTTTATTATGATGTTACCTATGTCCTAGATTTATGTCTTTGGAGATTCTCAGTCAGCCAGGTCATGGTTGTCCCAAAGGTGCTTTCTTCAAAAGGTAAGTGGACTTTTCTTTTTCCTTGAAGACGTTTCGCTTCTCATCCAAGAAGCTTCTTCAGTTCTGATTGAACGTTGGAGGATTTAAGGGTTTACATTCCTTGCAGCCATATGGTCAGTAGCACGCTTTCTGAGAGTGGAACACAGATAAACCTCCAAGTGACTTCAAGTGACTCTCAGAAAGAGTGCTAACCCTTCGAATGCAAGGAGTGTAAATCCTTCCATTCACCACCATTCAGTCAGAACTGAAGAAGCTTCTTTGGGTGAGAAGCAAAAAGTCTTCAGTGAAAAACAAAGTCCAGTTGCCTTTCGAAAAAAAGCATCCTAGACTTATAAGACCCTTAGGTATGTTTGGAAAGCCAGTAGGAGAATCGGGCGGAGTGTCGGCCTGGTGTCCCCAGGGATCCTCATGCTCTTCAGGTAACAAAGATTGCCCTTCTTTTGTTCCCTTTTGCCCAGATGTGTCGCTGTGCTGTGGGGTCCTGCGATGGCTGCTGGCTGAAAATGCCGAAGCGGATGCCCTTCGGAGCCAGGAGGTGGCAGTCATGCAAGGCCTGGCCCCAGATGGAGGCAAAGTGCAGCTGAACATCCGAGAGGCAAGGGAGGAGTTGTAATTGGGCCGTGAAACTTTGACTTGGGGTTAGGCTGATTAGATAGGCCTGTTGTCATGGGAACGGCTTGTATGTAGATTTTATGTGAAAGTAAAAAGTTGAGCGTGTTTGTTATCATCTTACTCTACTGCGCTAAAGGAAGAGGTCAATGCCTTTCTTTCTTTTTTTCCCCCCTTTTTCCCCTACACTTTTTCCTCTTTCCTTTTTCCTCCCCTTATTTTTCCACTGTTTTCATTTTGTTAGCCTTAGAATTAACTTTATTGTCACTTTGAATGTACACTAATCGGCATACATGAAAATGAAATTTCGTTGCATATAGCTCCCAAAAGGGTCACCACCTCCCCATACACACTACATAAGCATGACAGAATACATAACATACATACATGCATACTGTGCAGGCAAACATACATGTATTTTACGTTTCGATAAACAAATGCAAATTAGGAACTTGGGTTGTAATTGAGCCGGCATTAGAGGGAAGCAGAGGGAGAGGAGATCCTTCCTGAGGCAGAACTGCATTTCGCTCAGTGTGTGCAGATCAGCATGATGGCCCCAGATGTGATGCAGTTTGCAAAGATCCATTTAGCAACCCTGAGTGATTACAAACGCTCTCTGCTTCTTGCTTGTCCCCTTTCATGGGCCACATGTGCTCTTGTCTTGCTACGTGGAGCGTAGAATAAGAGGTTTGGGAGGGAGGTCTTTCAGTCCAGTGGTCCCCAACCTTTCTGGTCCTGTGGACTAGTAGTGGTGGCATCAGTGGCAACATCAGGGTCGGGGGGGAAAGGGGATAGTTTCGCATGCAGACATGCCCACCATTTGCACAAATGCATCTTTGCACGGGCACACATTCACCTGGCACTTGCACAAATGTAGCTTGGACTACACACGCTCGCTCGCTCACCACTTGCATAGCCTGATTCCCAACAGGCCAGGGGCCGGGACTGGGCCACGGATCAGAGGTTGGGGACTCCTGTTCTAGCCCAATCCCCCTGCAGGAGCCTCTATACCATTCCGGACAAATAGCACACTCTGGGCAATTTACAATGTAAGCGTATTTCCCCCAACAATTTGGGTCCTTATTTTACCGACCTCGGAAGGATGGAAGGCTGAGTCCACCTTGAGCTGGTCAGGATCGAATTGCAGGCAGTGGAATGCAGAGTTAGCCTGCAATACAACCAAAGTTGACTTACAACCAAAATTGAGCTCGAAATTTCTGTTGCTAAGCAAGACAGTTGTTAAGTGCATTTTGCCCCATTTTACAACCTTTATTGTTAAGTGAATCACTGTAGTTGTTAAGTTAGTAACATAGCTGTTAAAGGAATCTGGCTTCCCCCTTGACTCTGCTCGTCAGAAGGTCATAAAAAGTGATCTCATGACCCCAGGACCCTGAAACCATACAAGGCAGTTACCAAGCATCCAGAATTTTGATCATGTGACCATGGGGATGTTGCAATGGTTGTAAGTGTGAAAAACGGTCATTTTTTTCAGTGATGTTGTAACTTCAAACATTCACTAAATGAACTGAGTAGAGGACTATGTATATAAAATTTCCATTCTAATCCTCGCTACAGGTCAAACTGCGTGCTACAAGCTTAAATGCAATAAAACCTTTTCAGTGAACTGGAAAAACCACTTTGGGAGGAGTCCGTTGACTCTCCTTTCATTCCAGTGACACGCTCTCCAAGCATGCTACCTTAGCTTAAATTGGGGGCATAAATCATAAAAATGAATACATTTGGGAAAGGGATATTGTGCTTCCAGACAAAATAGTTCAGAACATGGAAGAAAAATTTTAAAAATGCATATAATAGTTCCATGCTTAAAATGCTGTTTGGCCTTCAGTGCTCTTATATAAGGTGCAACCCTATGCTCTTCCTCTCTTTCTTTCCTCTTTTGAGTGTCAGTGGTGTGGAACAGTGATCATTTTCCCCTGTCGAATGAAAGCCATTTTTTTTAAAAAAAGAAAAAAGATTGACACTTCCTTACTCTCAGTTTCGCTGCTCGGTGAAACCGGTGGCAGTGACATTCTTGTTTTCCTCCCAGGTGACTGTCAGTGACCTGAGCCCAGCAGGTCCTATCCAAGCTGTGGAGATTGTCATCCAGGGCTCTCCACTGGCGAACATGTGTCAGCTGCATCATGCTGTGGTTCGGCGCATTCAGGTATGTGCTGTGGCAGAGTGAAGGTAGGCAGGATGTTTGCCTATTATATCCTGAAAACTTCGGTTGCACAAACAAGATAGGGGATTAGGTTGCAATCCAGCAGGAGCTGGGGCTGCGTGGTATTTTCCTGTTGCCTTGTCCCAAAATCTGGGCTGATTTGTGAAATAGTCTAGTCCTTAAGAGAGAGGAAGCCGTATAGACTTCCTTTCTCTTAAGAAAGGGGATGAATATTCCATGGTCCTCATGTTAAGAAACAAAGGCTTTTGAGGGTTTTCTACTTTGCAGAGGGAGATGGCAGCATAAAAATGTAATTTTAAAAATCATGTAAGTACCCAAGGGAACAGAAGTAGGTGTTTTTTTGAAGTAGGCCTCTATACTGCTGGGAGTGTGCTATGGGTTTTTACTGTGAACCCATGAAAGAACTCCTCTTTACAATTCTTGCATTTTGGGGATGATAAAGGAAATATAAACTTTGACACATCATTTGGGAAAGCAGGAAACCCAGAGGTGCTAGGCCTGATCCTAGTTTAGAAGTTTGATAGGCCATCACCACATTTGAAAAGCACAAGGGGTCAGATTTGAAGACCTAGTCGGATTTCTTACCTTGCCCTGGCATTTATTTTCTTGATTTCAGTCATTTACATACTCTGTTCATTCATCAATGAGTAATAACAAAATGAATAATTAACAATTAGGACCAATAGCTAGAATTACAACATCAAACAGTGAGGTAAAAATGCTTTAAGTATACATAAAAGATAAACGGTGTCAAATCAATAGCAAAGCATGGCTCCTAGGAAAGGAAAGATAGAAAAGAAGGCTATGTTTCAAATTGTTTTCTCAAAGCATGACAAAGAAGAAGCCAGCTGGACTGATTTGGGGAGGAAATTCCAGAGTGTTGACAACACCACCAAGGACTGTAGATGCTTCCCTTATTTAATTCCAGGCAGGCTTCCTTTTGGGGGTAACACACAAACAAGGCCCTTGTCTGCAGAGCATAGAGCCTGGGTGGGAACCATATGGAAGAAACCATTGCTTCATACAGGAGGGGTTTAAGAAGTCCTGTTTGTTTTGATCTGATTAACACAGGCTCTGATTTTGGAACAAGCTTGCCAGGATTCTTCTCCCCCAGATATCCGGGTGCAGTATCTCCAAGAGATCCAAGCCAACCATGAGGTAAGCAGCTACCCAGACTCAAGGCACTGGAGGAAGCAAGTGTGCATTGCGCGCTTTGTTCAAGATGGCTGTGGGAGAACTCCAACCCCCTGCCTTTGGGTGAGCGCTGTGATTTCAGAGTACAGGTCGTCCTTGCTTAACGACTCTTACTGGGACTGAAATTTCTGTCACTAAGCAAAGC